CCGTTGTTTTACCAGCGAGGCTTGTCGCATCTACAGTTTACGATAAATTCATCGTTGATTTTTCAAAACCCTATGTTAGTGAAACGCATTTTAAAATGTCCGAAGCCCACACACAGTGTATTGATACTTACCAAGGGATATAGAAAAATCGAAAGATACAGGTCAAAGATTACTGAGAGTTTATAACACCACTAAATGTTCATGAGGACACTTGGGAGGAGGGGTTTTCTGTCAAAATCAATTGATGTTCAAGCGTTCAAGCGATTCAGAAAATCTCACACCTCAAATCTTGATTTATCTTGACGGTTTAATGAGCGTAAAAGCACCTGGGTGACAATTGTAAAACATGCATTCGTTTGAACAATCATACGGATCTCCGGTCATCGGAAAACCCTTTCCCGTCCAGCTAGTGAAACATGTTTCAATTTTTTTTCAAATGAGCTTTTTCACCACTACGATACCCACGATATATTGATTTCTTATAATTCACTTTGACGGAAATATGAGATTAAAAATATTGACCGGCAAAATTCATTGAATGTGATTGTATCGTGTTTTTGAAACATCTTCCCAGGTTTCAAATATGGCGGCCGTCTTGAAATGTTACCTCAGTATGTATTGCATATTAGAAATAAACCTTTCCAGTTGAACTCTTCCAGTCGTACCAACTTTTAATCATTCTATGCTTTAATATATTCCAAAATAACCCTCAGTTTTTGTTTGCTCTCCGGACATTGTTTTTTGGGCCTATTCATTTGGTGGTTTCCTATTTCATATCCATACTTTGAGGAGTCAGTATATGGCTTTCATTTCTGTTTCCATCCTAAGTTGACTAACTGGTATCATTCTGATCACTGTCCCATCTTTTATTTCAACAACTTTCACCCTGTTCGTACAGTGACCCTAGCACCCATTCCGTTCCGCCTGTTGTATTTTTTGATTTGTCGATGACCTTGCATGATCTGTCTAACTGGTGTCTGAGGCTGCACCGGTTGCTTAGACGAACTTCTACGCCATGCTTAAACTACTGTGGTGCCCGACAGGTAGTGGGTAGAAAAAAACCAAGGATGGTCAAGCTAAGACCTGGCACGAGGGTATGAAAACCCTAACCAAGAGACTCGGTCACGTGGGTCGCGTTAGCCGGTGGTTAGAGAGACTGAGAAATCTGGCTCAGTATTGTTCGTGTATCTTCTCAATTTCTTTGAAATCTTAGTACACGGAAATTCTTCATTTTCTCTTCCATTCCGCTTTCAACTCTCCTGTCTTTCGCCTACTGCTTCATCCAAAAGACAGTATTTGTTTTTCAAGCATTCCACACAAGATTTGTGTTGAATATTATCATTTTTCATCTTCTCTTGAAGATTTATCAATGTGATATCGTCAACTCGCATTCTTTTCATTGCACGTTTCAAATTGTCTGATTTACCAGGTCAAAATTTTACAATGGGAATCGCCCTCAAGCTTACGCTTTTCTTGTCCCAAATTAAGATATTTACACAATTGAATCGTTTCTCGGCAAAAAATATGATAAAATATCGCAGAGTTCCGGGTACGAGATAACAAATAATGCAGTCTTTAACGAATTTGCGCTAATTTTAGTTGCGTAGGAATGTGAAATGTGCTAGGGTTTCATTAAGTCTCCATTTGAAAGATTAAACAGTTAGCGCGCAAACGACGTGAGATGGAAGGGCGTGTCAAGTACTACATAACGGCATTTTAATCGACGATTTGGAAGCAGTAACTGCAAACGATGTCCCCTAAGGTGTTTGTTGGATGACAACGTGAGCAGCGGCTGGCGTAGATGTTTAGGCTTCTGCAGAATTTGATACACCGAAATCAAGTCTCCTTGAATTCGGTGGTACAGGTATACTCGTCCATATAGTTCACGGTACTAAGGATTTTGTCTGGTCAGAAAGCTTAGTAGCTTGTTGTCTCCCGTTTACAGCGTGTAATATTCATGACTTACAATGCTGGGCCTTGGATATGAAATGAAGTGTTCGAAAATTAACGTAACATCCAGGCAGGGATCAAAAACGGACTACCAGATAAATTTAGTTTGACTATCACGATTCTAGGTTTATTATCAAATTCCTAAGCTCTAGTCCAACACAACTAGTCGTTGACCGGTTGAAAAGTGGTGGTGGCTATTTCCACCTTTCTAAATGGCTCTGGTTTCGACAGAAAACATTTGTTTACTAGAAACCAAGTCAGTAGGCAAATGCGGACGGCGAAGGATAACAGCAAGCATATCGAGGCTAGTACAAGAGTAGCGGGTTCTGAATGGAATATGTCGTGAATTTTGCAGCACCTTTTCCGTGTGTGCTACACTTACTGTGCCGAAAATCAAAAAAAAATAATGAAACCAAATTCTCCAATATTCTCATGTAACAAGCAGTCTCATTCTTAATGTTCCCAACCCAAGAGAGGTTACCAATGCGGTCCGCGAGGTGAAGCTGCATTCGGTTCGCAAGGATGGATTGTGTTATATCGTGCATAGACACAATGAAAAACGGCCTGATCAGGTGCCCCGTGATGGACCTCGTCCAAAGGGCGTATGATCCGATGAACTGGATACCGGCAGCCAATGGACTACGGTTTTCACATACCGCCCCTCTGCGGGTCAGGCTTTGGCTAGCAGAAGGCTCCGGTTGTGGATTCCTCAAGAGAATTAACCTGCCTTGGCCTGGGAGACCTGGCTGGATTCCGCCCTCATACAAATCATGGAAGGTTTTTCTTTTTCATAAAGATTATTGTACCATGATTTGTTTGGGGTAAAGTCTGGATTCGGATGTGTGAAAATATAATATAATATATTCCGTTTGTCCAGTCTTTTACTGAAGCTTCACCACCGATGTATGCCTCACCCAATTAAACACAGGGATGACAACAGTTCGGTGTGTGATCGAGATTAAAAGGTGGAAGACTTCCTTGAATCACGACAGTCTGTCAGCTCATAGGCGATACATCTATCAGATACTCATTTTAGCTAGTCATAACTAGGGGAATCGTCCAGTTTGATTGCATCACGCAACCGCCTAAACACGAGAAGCGGTCAAATTCAGCTATTTATTGGTCATCTAGTTTCAAAACAGGTTTAGTGGACACTCAGTGTTACCCTGCACTGTGAATGTGTAAACCGCATACCGAACAGAGTTACACAAATTGTCAGTCGATCAAGCGCGCTTTGCGCGTCTCCTGTGCAATTCAAGAGACAAACGATGTCATCAACGTACCCCAAATCGTACGGCTTTATCTAGCTATTCATTCAATACCAATCTTTTGGAAACCACTTAGTGCGTTCTCTAGGAATGGATTGAACACAGCTGCTGGTTTCGAAAGAGCCACTTAGTACGCAATAATAAACTCTTTCTCGACATATAGACTCTACTATTCTGTTTATATCCTAGTTGCGAACCTATGTTTGAATACGCCAAACACCTCGTATATGAATCTTGCAGTGTGAATGTGAAGTAGCGGTTTAACGCAATCGATTCGTTATCGCACAGCCAAGTGAATCGGATCACATACGTTTGGATTGGAAGAGATCAAGCTACATGTGAAGTGCACTAGTTATAGATAGATACCTTGGTGAACATCCACGTACAACAGTCCGATTCATGTTGATCACGTTAGACGCTCAATAGCTGGCCCATTTTCAAAACCCGTGGCTCACAGTTGTCCTCAAAGTGACCATCTCCATGGGTGATGAACTATTACCGTCTGGTACCTGTCCTAGCCCCAAGTGTCGAAACGAAGAGAAAATATGACCGAATAAATTGAATAAAAAGAAAAGAACCAGGGTGTCATAGAAAGAGAGCGAACTGAGTCTATGAGAGTCTAGGCAATGCGAGCTTTGAAAAATTCGATGGTTATGATGTAATGGATGAGTGGGAGAAATGAACAATGAATATGAGACCGGGAAAATCTGTGCACGCTTCGATACTGATGTAGACGGAATATCGCACGGAAGATGATAACTCATATAAACAGAACGAGGTCAGGGTCCTCTTTACCACAAGAGTTCGATCAGCCACCAGGCCGTACGTATTCACATTGACCGCTGCTCCGGCTATCAGGGGCACGTGGCATGCGAGCGCGCGCACACACACACACACACACGTGCTGATTCGATGAATGCAACAACCGAGAAAAGGCAATTACGCGGGGGCCGCGGTGAGCACATGGGATATTGTAAATTCGAAGGATAAACAATCAGGAAAGAAGAATCGCGCGCGCGCGATGAGGAGAAAAACAGGGGACAATGAGAACAGAACAAAGAGGACAACGAAAAAACATATTTGAGTTGGATAATGCGGAAGAAAAAGCGAGAAGTTGGGGGAGAGAGATATGGACGGAGAAGAAACAAAACCGGAAAGCCCTGTTGCCGACTGATTAGTTCAGAACAGATTGCAATGACTANGATTTATGTAACGAATATGAACCAAACAGAGGACATCATTGATTCGTGTATCTGCATGTGTGCTGTGAGGATGCGTGTGTCAATATATCGAGCACACCGGTGGACGTCATAAGTAGCAAATCAGATGTACCCACACACAAGAAAAACAGGGGTTATGTTGAAAAGTCAGCCCCANCCCCAGAGGAAGCAGTGACTAGATTGACATGTGGGCGAAGGGAGAGACGGCCCGCTACCATCCGAGAGAGAGAGTGGAGGTACATAAGCCGATGGTCAATTATGCACTGCCCTCTTGGTTTCCAGTTTCATCATCTTTGTCGGTTCGATCGAGGCTCTGATAAGACAGGCATATACTCACAACATCCGCACCTGTAGTCTGCGGTTCGGATCCGGACAGTTAATGCATGCATGCATGTAGATGAGATTGTTGACGAATGACGGATCAAATCGTCAGGGTGTTTGCATGGGAGAGAAAGATTACCAGTTTGCGGCATTCAATTTCAGTTTGTGCAATTTTAGCTTGAACCCGATAGCATCGGACAGGATTGTGGAGAAGCATGACAGTAGGACCAGTTTGAACACGTTATACACGAGAGGATTGACCGTCCAACCACAAATACGGAACGGGCNGGCCATCCACTTCTTTTAGAAGACCCTCCACTAGACGAAGAACTTGAAAAGTGGACAAAAATTCGTCCTTCTTGTATGGTTTCTTTTCAATGCTCAAATAGAGATTTATCTGTGTAGAGAATAGGGAAAGAAGATCAAGCTTGTCGGATCCGAATTTAAGGTATGTGGAAATGAATAAGAAACCGATCTGCGCGTTACTAATGAGAACACAAACAATACAATATCTACGGTTGTTGTCGTCGGGAGCAACTTGAGGCGTGATCAGGTGTGATGGAACTGGTCACAGATCGAATCACACTGTGTAAAAAGAGATGAACAGAGTTTAGGAAAAAATGACAACCATCTCAGGTTAACGACTGTGGGAGCTGGCGCTAAACTGAAGAAGGCAACCGTGGTCAAGTGGTTAAAGTCATACAATTGGTCACCTGGGTGTCCTGAGTTTAACTCCGGGCGTCGCCACTCACCTTACCAATTCCTGTATTTGATTTGAACTGGTCATCCTCCAGATTTCACCTTCACGCACAATCCTGAGTTCATCCAGTCGACCCTACATCCAGAAGCACTAGAGTCGAGTTTCGTTCTTATAAGAACTCGTCAGTAGTGGATATCAGCCAGTTCAAATCAATATCAATTGTCCCACACCACTACACGTGAATTTCAGTATTTTCTCAGACAGCCTTTGTATGGCCGTGCTCCCCGCTCCCTGAGACCTGACTTCACATTGGTATAGTGGATACAATAAAAGAGCAAACAAAACATTTATTCATTTATTTACATCCATCGAAAAGTAAATAACTTGTTCCGGATGAACAAACGAGGTAGACGGCGCGCGCCCCAAGTGTTGTTTTCTCGATCCACGTGGCTGGTCGCAGCAGTTAGTATCCAATAAATCCTACTCACATTGCCAACGGAAGTTCGGGGGATTATGCACTCCCAAATGTGAACCAATAGCATATGGAGTGACAGATCGAATCGAGTCTGACCGCGTGCAGTTCAATCAACCTAGTCTTAACCCTGGACGCTAGTGCTGAGATGAGCAGGGTCTGTGGCTCGCGAAGATGGGTTGTGCTATATCGTGTAAATGGAAAATGAAAAACGGTCTGATCAGCTGCCCGTCCGAGTGGGTAGCATGCTTGCGTTCTACCCATGATGTCCCGGGTTCGGTCCCCAGTCGGGTCGATGGATTCGCACTGCTGATGAGAACCAATCAGATCAAAACAGCTGTCCAGTAGTGCTTCCTAGATTTTCAGTTCACGCTTCCTTTGCTATATACACGACGAATTCCCATTTGAAAAAAATAAATAAATAATCGAATTTGGCGAAATCAGCTAGCGTTCGTCCGGATTACACCGTTGGGTAATTAGTAAAGAGGTACGAATAACAGAGTTTACTGTGCGGTCGGTTATACAGTGAACAGTCTGATGGTAAACGGCTGTAAGTATATGATAGATAGAGTACAAACTGGTCTCAGCAGATCGGAAAGTGAGAATAGCTATCACTTACTTGCTCAGTGATAATTATGGACAAATTCCGATATTTTTTGGTGATCTTCGTCCCGAGAATTAGGAATCGATGCTGAAATAATGCGATCCCCAAAGTGAGTCCCATCATGTCCAGGTTGATCAGGCGTGAAAATGTTTGCTCACCTTTCATGGAGATGAACTGAGAAGGTGAATGATCAGAAAAGGGATCCAGGGCAGAAAATGGTATAGATCAATAAATTTATGAGCCAATAAAACACATGGAAAAAACATGCTGAAAATATGTGAACGTTGGTTGACACCAAAAACGACATTTACCAAGAAATAAT